TAAACCAACTATAAGAAAATTCACATTCACTGTCACCCCAGTTTTAAGAACAAGGACAGACAGTAACACAAAAACCAATTAAACAATCTTGAAATAGGCTGTAAAATCAATTCAAGGTCAATGATAATACACCACATGTAACACCACAAGGAACAGGGTAATGAAACTGAGGATAGGGGCAGACAGATTCACTACAAACAACAAGGAAGTGTGCGAGGAACTGAATAAGAAATTCCAAGAGGTCTTCACATTAGAGCAAGGAGAAGTTCCAGAGATAAGAGAGGGAACAGTTAACCAGGCACCACTAGAAGTTTGGGATTACCAGTGGGGATGTAAGGAAGCTTTTGCTAGAGTTGGATGTGACAAAGGCTCTTGGCCTGGATGGAATCTCACCTTGGATACTAAAGAAAGGAGCAGAAGCACTGTGTCTGCCACTCTCCATAGTGTATAACAAATCACTAGTAACAGGTGAACTGGCAAAAATTTGGAAGACGGCTAATGTAGTCCCGATATGCAAGAAGGGAGACAGGAGGCACTGAACTACAAGCTAGTGTCCCTAACTTGCATACCATGCAAGTTGACGGAGAAGATTGTGCAAAATAAGGGAGTACCTAAGCAACAGACGACAGTTACTGTAAGGGGCAAGAACTCAGATTGATGAGGCGTCACCAGTGAAGTCTAACAGGGTTCAGCCCTTGGACATATACCGTTTCTGATATATATGTAAATTATCTCCCAGTGGGTATAGAATTGTTCCTCTCATTGTTTGCTGATGATGTAAAAATTATGAGGAGGATTAAGACAGAGGAAGATAGTACGAGGCTACAAGACGACCTAGATAGACTGAACAAATGGTCCAACAAATGGCTACTAAAGTTCAACCCGAGTAAATGTAAGATAATGAAACTAGGAGGTAGAAACATGAGGCCTGACACAGGATACCGAATGGGAGATGAAGTCCTTCATGAAACGTACAGAGAGAGAGATCTAGGAGTGGATATCACACCAATCCTGTCTCCTGAAACCAACATAAAAAGAATAACATTTGCAGCATATGCAAGGCTGGCTAACATCAGAACTGCTTTCAGGAACCTGTGTAAGCAATCATTCCGAACCTTGTATACCACATATGTAAGACCAATCCTGGAGTATGCGCCCCCCGCATGGAGCCCATACCATGTCAAGCACAAGATGAAGCTAGAAAAAGTTCAAAGGTATGCCATGAGGCTAGTCCCAGAACTAAGAGACATGAGTTACAAGGAAAGGTTGCGTGAAATGTACCTCATGACACTAGAAGACAGAAGAGTAAGAGGGAAGACATGATCACTACCTACAAAATTATCAGAGGAGTTGACAGGATAGATAAGGATAAACTGTTTAACACGGGTGGTACGTGAACAAGGGAACACAGGTGGAAACTGAGTACCCAAACGAGCCACAGTGACGTTAGAAAGAACATTTTCAGTGTCAGTGTAGTTAACAGGTGGAATGCATTATGCAGTGATGCAGGTGGAATGTATTAGGCAGTGATGTGGCGGAGGCTGACTCCATACACAGTTTCAAATGTAGATATGATAGAGCCCAGTAGGCTCAGGAATCTGTACACCAGTTGATTGACAGTTGAAAGGCAGGACCAAAGAGCCAGAGCTCAACCCTCACAAGCACAACTAGGTGAGTACATGTCTGCTCTGAACTATCAAACTCATTAGTACTTCAAGGGAGTTGAGAAATACAGGAAAGGAACCGTGTTATTGCCTTTGTTATTATTATTCCGTCAAGGCCCTCCACCCCATGATTTACATACTACTCATAATTATACTGTAATGTCAAATTTCAAATATGCTCTGTACTGTGATACTTGGAAAAGCTAATAAAATCTTGAGGTATATTCATGATAAAAGTCACAGTACTATGGATGTAAAAATTATGTGGCTTTAGTGTTGACAAGTATTTTACTGAATGGTACTGTTGATGCAGTAACCTCAACACCAGCATTGTCTTTGAATAGTATTCTGTAATAATAAATGATTTGAAACGTTTGATGATTTTACAAATTAATAAATGATGGTTCACTTGATAATCTTCCACACATATACGAAAATGTAAATTTTGTTTCTCCAACTTCTGTACCAGACTCTTATGGGGTACTGTCAAAAGCATTCTGACAATCCAAGGAAATGTGTTCTGACCACCCTTCTCTTTCCTGCCAAATTTTGTCGCCTGGTCATATAATTCTATTAAGGCTTTGAGGAATAATTTGCCATTCCTGAACCCTTGCAGGTGGTCTTACAAAGCCCCTTCTCTCCAGGTGTTCAAGCTTTTTCCTCACAATCTTCTCCCTCACCTTGCATGGCATACAAGTTAAAAGAAACCAGCCTATAGTTCAATGCCTATTGCCTTTCTCCCTTTTTGCTATTAGGACAACATTAGCTGGAGGTTTCATACCTTGATGTTTGTTTCATGGCATAATGCCCAGTTGTAAGAGTGTCTGACTATTACATTGCTTTCTGCCATGCACATTGTCTTTTTGTGTGATGCCGTGGCAATTCTGCCCTTCTGAAGGTGTGGAGTGGCTTCTTTTTACAGTGGACCCCTCAGTGGCTCCCCAGGGCTGATGCAATGGTACCCCATTGGCAAATTCAACACACCAGGCATCTTGACCATCCTGCCTCTCAACAAAGCAAGGAGGGGCAGACATAATACTCAACACCCTGAGGAAACCCCACCAAAATGACAGAAAAAGGTGTCATAAACTCAATGTTCAGAGAAATATTTGGCATAATGAATGCCAAACAAAAATTTTAAAGTAGAACAAATACCTCGCTGCTTTTCCCTCCTGTCACCACACGATAGCACATGTCAACCAGGGGCCAGGTGAGGCCCTCACCAACACACTTGCCTGGTTCCTCTACTAACACACATTATCTTCCATAACCTGTGTGGAGTGTATTTCTTTGAACTTTGTTGGGGGAGTAGTGATGAATTTCCCTATAAGTGTTGTGCTAAGCTGTGCTCTGTTTGACTTGGAAGTGTGTGTGTGTGTGTGTAACTGACACTGCTCTTCTAGATCACAGATTTTTACCTGAGAATAGGCACGGGAATTTCCATTCTTGTGTTTTGCGGAGCATTTATTTCCTTCTCACTTTAGGGTTGGAGTGATGACTGACCTCTAAATTTCAAGCTGGCCTGTTAACAGTACAGCTTGGCCATGTAGTTGGTTATTGATACTGTTGTTTTAACCTATGTACTGAACTTTCATTCAAGGGATGGCTCATGGTAGAAGATCCAATCTTGGGTTTGGTAGCGTACATTATACTTTCTAAACATTATGGGCACAGTGATTGAGGAAAGCCACCGAGTTCAATGCTGGCCAGTGCTCAGTATGGCTTGACAGTGTGTCTGGTTGTTGACAACTGGTATAGTCCTGCATTTTCACTCTAGGATAAGTGTGGTAAAATTTCCAGTCTTGTGATTTATGGAGCATATTTTTTCTATAAAGTTTCCAGGTGGAGTAATGTTGGAACTCAACATTACTCAATGTTCAAAGCTGACAGGTGCCCTGTTCAACTAAGCAGTTTGGCTGCTGATAGTACGGTTTCAAACCACTTTGTTTCCACTTGTAGTTCGGCTCTGTATGCAATTTCTAGTGTTGTACTACATGGGGCATGTAACTGTATTTTTAAAAACTTTAAAAGTTGAGTGGTGGTGGATTTTCTTTAGGTTTAAAGCAGGCCTTTGTTCTATATGGCTTAGTTGCCACTGCTTTTTCTTTCAAGGTTAAGCTTGGGGCAAATTTTCTGGTCTTATCTTTTAAGTGGGTTTTCTTTGATCCCACTGGGTGGAGTAATGTAGACCTCCTTAAAGTTCAGTGCAAGCCTGTGTTCTATACAGCTAAGCAGGGTATCTGATTGCTATCACTACTGTGTCTAGCCTTTGTGTTTTCCAGAGAAGTTCTGTGGAACTTCTAGTTCGGCAATTTTAGTAGTAGTATTTTCTGTTTTGTGGGTAGAGTGTTATTGCACTATCACCTTCTTTCTGAGCCACTGCAAGCTCCAATTGGCACTTCAAGGTGTTTGGCAAATGTCACTACCTACTTTGACTCCTGGATTTTTCCACTCCTTAGTTGTATTGGTATGAATATCAATTTTTGTGCATTGAGGAGACAGCTTATGCCTTGCGAGAGTTTGCTGGATGAACAAAGGTTTCTGACTTTGTTCAACCTGAGACTGTTTAGTCCCAGGTTGAATTGCTTTTGTCCTGCCGTGGCCTAGTTGGCAAGACGTGCATCTGGTATTCACCAGGATGTTGGTTCAACTCCCTATGCTGCTCATTGATAATTCATGCTACTGTGATTTTTTTGTGGTATTATATCAGTATACTGTAATGGTTAGTTAGGATATTATTATTTTCTTTAATAAATGAATAATTAATTTGATTTGTTTTGGTAAACTAAGTGAGTTTTAATTGTGCAGCCATTATATTATTTACATTTTCTTGAATTTGTATTTATAAATATTTAAAAAAATTAAAATTTTAATACAAATTTCCGTTACTACAGCAATTATAGCTTCTGTTAATATTGCGACTACTGTTGTCATTACTTGACCTACTAGTTACTAATGCTATTTTCTTATTATTCTTAATACTTTTTACCAATACAGGCATACATCACTACAGTATTTTGCAAGCTAAATATTTTTAATTTGTCTAAAAATGCAAGTTTAATTTATACCTATACATCTGCTTCAGTCCAGTCAGAATTGTAGCAATTTGTACAAGTTGCTACATATAAATTCCTCTAATTCTAATATCACACTTAAGGTGGTCTTACAGTAGAACCAGGAAAGCAGGCTATATAAACCTTTTTATCCTGGACTAACAGTATCCAGATACCTTGTAAACCTAGCACATATGGATTCTACTAGTAAAGCCTTTATATATCAGGATTCTACTGTACAGTATACCTATATTAATTACAAATCATTACCAAAAATACTCACAGATTTTGCACAATCAGGTCGTAACTTTCTGAAGAGCTGATCCACGAAGTTTCGTCTGCAGATAAAAAACAACCATTAGTCTGGTTGCTGGAATCTAACCAATAGGTCTTGTACAACATAAAGCAAAGAAACCAATTTACAAACTAAGGGACATAATAAACTGGAAAATAAAAAAAAATAATGCTATGACAAGAGAAGCTCTCAGTCAAAAAAGCTTTATATATACTAGTCAACCCAAAATATTTTAAACCTTAATTAGGCAAAAATATTAAGTTGAATTTGCATTATATGAAACATAGTTATGATCAAATAATATTTTTGGAATGTGACACTATACTGCAGTTTGGATAAATTGGCAAAAATGTACACCCATCGAAATTTTAAAAATATTTACACCTCAAGGATAATTAAACACTTCTTTCTAAGCATAGCTCGGTTGCCTCCTAAACCAGAGCTACTTGCTCCATTCAGGACTTTTCACATGCTTCCTAAAGCAATTGTTTCACTTGCAAGGAGTACCAACAAATCTATATTAACACTTTCGCTGGCCTGGTGGGCCACTTGCAGCTCACCGCAAGGTAGGCCTGGCATTGCCCGTGAGCACACAACCTAATGTTAAACTCTTTTACTCACAATACTTACTAATAAGAATAAGGAAAAATTAATTGTTGACAGCGTTGAGGTCATTCCCCCGAACTGCGTATATTGTTTCAATGACTACGTGAATGTTATGATGCCAGTGTTAATTACTGGTTAGTAAACTAACTGCTAACCGTCCGTGTAACCCTCTTAACCCTAAAAATTACTAACTTTGAAGTTAGGCCTCCTCCTGGGGGAAGATTTGGGATATCTTCTTCCGCAAGCACTTGCATTATCTGTGCCATGCTGACTGGTCCCTCCTGCTCACACACCTCTGAAACACAGTAACCTGATTAACCAGTGAGCGAGACATCCAGTATAGACATACAGTACTATATATATATATTTATATATATAGTTATATTGTCCAAAAAATAGTATAGTTGATTATAGTCCAAACCAAGTAGTCATCAAGGTAGTCAAAGATGCATATTGCCAACAACCAAAGACAGGACACCCTGACCTGCATCAACCTGGTAAAAAGTCCAAAGAGCCAGATTAAACCAAAGAGAAGAACCCAAAAGCATTAACAGACACTCTTGACAAACCTTAATCTGTCCCAGAATCTGGTATGAAGATACATGCCAATACAACAGTGTGAACAAACATGACATCTGTGATGAGGCCCAGGAACCGTAATTGATGACATCCCTTGAAGAATTTTAAGAATGGTATGTTAAAGTGCAGAATGGACTGGTACATTTTAAAGTGAGCCGAGGTCCATGAGAATGCAGGGTGGCCACCATCACAATCAATGCAGCAAACTGGTAGGGTTGTTAAGTGGATTTAATATGGCAAGACTTGCCTCAGAGTTAGGAAAAGTGCTTCTGCATGCTAAAGCACCATTGCTAAATTTCCAACATCATGTACTGGTATTGCAAAGATAGGTAGTCATGGTGCAGGGGAGGGGGGGGGGATATATTCCTTAACAGAACATTTAACCTCCCATGGGAGAATATCTTGAAATATATATATGGCTTTTGAAGGAGTGCTCGGGAGTCGGTGTATAACAGAACCCTTAACCAAATCTGCATAGGTGTTTGATTTCCTCAGGGACAAAAGTTAACAATTCTGGTGACTGGTATCTACCCCAAATCCATTAGATTTAATTAAGGGATTGAGGGGCAGCTTCCTGTCTGATGAGTGGGAAGAGGTACACCACTTGTGGTACCCTGTAACTCCTTTGGTAATTGAGGATGATATCTACAAAGACAAATAATTTACAGCTGAACAAAGGTCAGTAAAAGTATAATTTCCCAAGATCTCCATTTTATCTTTCCAGCATGTTGGACGTGCCCCACATACCAGCTGAGCATACACGAACTATGTTCTCACATTTTCAAAGAACAGTACAGTATTCTGTATAAGGAGATGTTGAGAGATTGTATTCAAACACTTAGCACATTGAGGATGCAAGACCTCAAAATCAGACATGTACAGGTAGGCTGTGACGTACACAGAGCCTGCTTATAATATGTTTTGGCATCTGTTAGTTTAAGATGCTGGCCAGGAAAGGAAAAGTTGTTATGGCTTTTGGTATATTATTTTTAACCATATACCAGCTTCTTTACTATTTGCAGTTAGTGTAATTCCTGACAGGCTACTTTATGCCAGACGGTGGGATAGAGGTGGGACTAAGTGCATAACCATATGGCTTCTTTAAGGTTCTTGTTCGCCTCTTTTTTTTTTCCCCTTGGATTTCCACATGTGAAGGAATCGAGAAGCAAATTATCTTGAACTTGACAGAAAACCTGTAAAGGCAATCTTGTGCTTTCTGCACCAGAGGGGGCACTATGGTTCAAACTGACAATTGATGCAACTGTATTTTGGGAAGATGCTTCAGAAAAAATTCCATTTAACACACTCCATTATGATGGACAAGACTTGCAAAACTTGCATTTAATTCTGCGGTAAAATTATATTCCAGTTTTGGAACTCTTCTCTGTATTTAACATTGTGGACTGACTATAATGGGATAATCAACACCACCATTGCTTTTTCAATCAACACCACCTGTCCATATATATATATATATATATATATATATATATATATATATATATATATATATATATATATATATATATATATATATGAGCTCACAGCAGGTATAACCCTTGATACACTCATGATATAGGGCAGTAATTACCTACTGTGAATGCCAGATTTTTCAAATTTCCTCTGGCAAGTAAAAATGAAAGATATTGTTCATGGTGGTATGGAAGGCATGTCCTTGAATTTCCAGGGTTGAAAATGCAGTATCTCGCTAAAGTTTGGAGAATTCTGATGTGCAGCAGTTTTTGAGACTTGGGACTGGCTGCATATCTGTTGGCAAAATGAGCATTTGCAATCTATTTTTTGTATGCTTGGGGTTGAAGGTGTAGCCTTAACTCTATAAAAGAAATTCAGAGCTCCAATGCTTCTGAACCCAAAAATAATCCCATCAAAATCTGTATATAGACTGTCAACAAGTGACATGCTAAATGCTGCGGTGCTTGTACACAAAGCCTGATAGTTGATTAGGTCTATGAGTTATAGGGCAGAATTGTTGGCTGATCCAGAAATGAAGTGTGCATAATCCAACGTACATCTATATAATGATTTATACAAGTTTAAGAATAATGCCCAATATATTCGACGAATAATGCAAAATCACGTTTAAAATGTTGAAGGAATTTTCCCAGTTTTTGCTAGTGGACCTTAAGGTGAGAGACCCACATGAGTTTGTGATCCAATATAACACCTAAAACCTAACTGCATGTTTATACAGTATACTTACATCAGTTCAAGTTAGGAAAAACTTAATTTTTAGACTCTAGAAAAGGCTATAGATTTGTTTTATTAGGAGAGTACAGTATATCAATTGTCATCAACCAGAAGAAAATTTTGCCACTGCTATTTGTACTCTTCCAATGGACAGATAGAAAATCTGAGCCCGACACAAAACAAAAAGTGATCAGATCATTCAGAGAGCATTTTACAGCAGAATTCATCAAGAGCACTATGCACTATAAACCACACCATTTACCGGATTCTGAAATACCCATGCGCTATGCAAGCATTTCAGAAGGAAAAAACAAAAAAAATATTATGCCTTCTTTATATTGTTAAAATGCATTTTCTGATAACCGGAAAATGCAAATAAAATTTCTAAGACGCTTCTCTGGCTGTAATGAAATGATCTAGTCCCAATGACGGATCCTCAGACAGGGAAAAATGGGTACCGTGCAGAGAGGAAAAGGGAAACAGAGGGAAAAATGGGTACCGTGCGCATTTAATATATTAGGTTTTATCATACAGTGCATTTAAAATGTTTTACTACTTTTTTCAGTGCAATTACGTATTACACTAAAAAATACAATAAGCACTTGACTTACCAATAACTTTCTTCTCAATGAAGTCTTCCAATTCCTTCTCTCTCTTTAAAGCCTCTTGAGATACCTTGGGTGCCCCAGGGAACGTTATCAATACAAGGCTCATGTTGTCCCGACTTCCCTACAAAAATTTGGAAAAAGGAAAAGTTACCATGAGGATTGCAGGATTTTTTTAACAGTTGAATGTGTTTCCCATGGGAGAAATATTTGGCGGGTCATATATTAAAGATGCTAAGAAACATCATTTTTTACTGATATAGATAAATGGAAACACTCAGAGATGACTATACAGTATTATGTATATGAGTGTGTTTACCATGTGTACACTCTTAAATATGTTTGCCATGTTTAACACTATCTCTCAGCCCTGTCTTGTCAAAGAGCACTTCTGTAATGCAGTGACTCCTGACCCTTCTGTTTCTTGTCTTATCTACCTTTGAAAGTACTGTATGTTTATATTCCTTTCTACTATTTCTTCTTGTTGTACATTCCATTTGCTCATTACCCTTAATCTTTCACAAAAGCCTTTCTAACATCCCAGTAGCTCATCTGTTCACCAAGTTACTATCCATGTCTTCTTGTTCTACCCTGCCTTATACCAATTATTTCCTCTTTATCAACCTTATAATCCCCCTCCACTGAGAATGTTATGTCATTATCATGTCTCCTAGATTCTCTCTTCAGATATGGAGAACTGCAGTTTCCTTAGCCTTTCCTTGCAGTTAATTCTCACAGTTCTGGCATAAGCTACGCTGCATACTTCTTGAAGGAGCCCGTGACAGCTGACTAACACCCAGGTATTATCTCTAGGTATTAGGTAGGTAGGTATCTAGGTACTATCCCAGGTATTATCACCCATTAAATATCAATACTGTACAGAAACTAGAAAAAATAACTAAAATTGGCTTGTTTCATTATATTGTAAAGTCTTTACAACCCAGACCTGGAGTGTCACATGTAAAGTTGATAAATAAAATCTAAACCCTCTGATAAGGAAATAGAGAGAATGGGTAAATATAAATAAAACAGGTGAAAGTTAAATCATTACAAGAAAGAAAACATTTAAGTGAAAAAGTGAGAGCAGAAAATGATACTCATTATTACCTACAATTCCCCAGCAAACAACAAACAGACAAAGGAAGAAATACGAAACAAGCAAGAGGCCATAGATTCAAGCCAAGGAAACACACGTGCAGACAAAATATACAAAAGTTATCTTTTGTAGAACTATAGAAGGTTGGCACAAGTTAAGTGAGAAGGTAGTGGATGTCAACCAGACCACACACTAGAAGTTGAAGGGACGACGACGACGTTTCGGTCCATCCTGGACCCTTCTCAAGTCGATAGTGGATGTCAAAACCATGAGTAGTTTTAAAGTGGCATATGAAAGAATTGTGAAGACTGGACACCCCAAGTGTAGCTCTCATCCCGAACACTTAGATGATTACACTAAAGTAATTGCAGATACAGATACACACACACACGTTTTTCAAAAACAACATGTTATAGGTCTAAAAATCTTAATACAAATTAACATTTCCTTAAAACTGAAGCTGTACCTTATGAAGACAAGTATCCACAACGTGATTAGAAATAGCTTCATGATCATCGGAGAGTAGAAGGCGCGACCGCACAAAACTGCATAAATCTTCATTAGTCATAACATCCCAGATGCCATCACAAGCCAGCACTAAAAACTCATCATTATCCTGGCGACGTTCTACATATATTTCAGGCTCGGGAGACACCAGCTGCTCACATGGACCTTTACCCTCCACATTCTGAAATGCAATAAAAATTAATCTACACTGATGAATACACACCTTTTAGGCTTGATAATATATTGAACATGTGCAGGAGTACACAACGATGTAAAAACATGCAAGCACCCTGGACTCGGACCAGGTCACAAGATTCACGTAGCTATCACAAGTAATACTGAATCCCAGGTTGTAATTCTTTTACCATATTGTGGTGTAGTTGTCCAAGATGTCTGCTTGGGATTCAAACCCAGAGCATACATAGGTTTGAATCCTTTTCACAGCTCCTGATTTTCTTATAAGTTATTCTGGTGTGTAGCTTTATATATTTAGTTTGTAGATATTCAAGCGGGTTATCCATGGGCTGGTACATCTCAGGATACAAAATGTAATGTCATTCAGGAAGAGCAATTATTATAAAAGGTAAGAGCAGGATGGCGAGAAGTGGTGGAGGGAGACAAACAAGTATGCAGGGTATTGAATGTAGACAGGAATTAGCCCCACATTCACACATGCAGTGACAGAAAAGACATTTGTGTGAGGAAAATTTTTGCATCTCTGAGACTGCTAATGATAAAGATAATATGAGTATCCAATAAAAGTAAATGGAACAGGGACATTCATCTCTCTTCTCCGCATTTGTTCTTCCTGAATTTTATACCCTGTACTTTTATACCCGGACAGGTGTTTGGGAACCAGTGGCGCATGTGCCACCCATGGTTGCTCACTCAGTACTAACCCAGCCAGCAGCCCTAGGGCATTCTGGAAATTTTTTCCAAGATGGCTGCCTCTCACTTGAGGTCCTATTAATCCATTTCGTACAAAACCATCCTCGCACACATTTAGAATGGGTACGAAAAAATCAGAGTGTTTTCTCGGTTGGCCCAGTTTCCCACCAACCGAGAATACTCGGTTGGCACAGTTAAGTGGTTAATCAGTTCTCCTTTTAAAAATTATTGATACTGTACGTATATATATTTTTCCTTAAATTACATCCCTACTTTAACTTTAGGCATATATAATGCATTGTTTATATATCAATTTATTGTCTATGAATGCATCATGATGTGCTCTTTCAACTTTGAGAAAAAGCTCTTAGCCAAGACATAATCCTGATGAAACAGGACAAGTCCACCACAGAAAAAGTTACATAAACAATTTCTAACACAATTTTAATTATTAAAGCAATAAAATACTTTGCAATAGTTAAAAATTAAGCATTTAATGTAATGGATTACCCTTCTCTGGGCCGCCTCCATAGCTGCTCAGTGCATTGGCTGCTACCACAGACATCTACAAAACTACCAGGCCTCTGGACTTGGGCATGCATTCTGCACACCATGAACAGAATCTTATATGTTTAAAGAGATGAGGGCAAAATGAATCAAGAATCTCAAAACAGCAAAATTCCCAGAAAATACAAGCAAAGCAAAACGAACTAAGTATCGTGAATAAAAAGATGAAAACAATAGAAACAACTGAAGCTGTCAGCTCAGGTCACCCAAATGTTCAACCTGCCTGTCTGGGTTGCTGTACTCAAGTGACACCCCCAAAATAACCCCAATCCCCACAGAGAAAAGAAGGGCAAAGAAAGAGGGCACAGGGCTCTACTGAGGCAGAGGCAGAAAAAAAAAATTATCTGGTAGGAAAAACAAGGAGCATCCTTCAAACTCGTACGTATAGAGCGCGGAGGAAATTGCCTTTATCTACAAATCGTGTAGGGTCAATGGTACAAACAAAACCCCACCAAAGACCCCACGAGGATTATCAGGGCCTGAAGGCAGACCAAGGAAGATGTCTGCATGGTGGTGGCGTTCAGTACTACAACTTACATGCCAGTTTTGAATATTTCCCTTATTCTGTGTGAATTGTTTGCAGAGTTGCTTGCCAATTTTGAGGCTTCGGTCTTTGTTAACCCTCTAGCTCTCTGTAAAGCTTCGCTGACTTTCTGACTGCTTTCCTGGTGTAGTGGTGAATTGTCACATGCCCTCTGCACCTTTGAGGGAGGGTTGGGGATGGGGGGTAAGGTTTTGCCTTTGATCCCCAGTAGGCCAAACAGAACTCCAGTGTCTGGATGTGGCCCATCAGTATGAAGCAATCTCAGCGAGATAGCTTCAAGGAGGTACTGTGGGCTCTCCAAGAAAAAGACAAGGCAACAAAATATATACTGAATAACAAAACCAGAACTACACATGTAAAAAATATTGTTAATTACTTTGTACTCGTAATCTCCAAGTGCTCGAGAGACTGCAAGGGATCCATTTACTCTCTGAATCATAACGGATCCTCCTGCATTTTGAATCCTCTCCTTCTCTATAGGGTTGACAGGTTTGTGGTCTTGAGTGCTAAAGCCAATGCTATCCGCACGATGCAAGACTGCACGCGAGTCTCCACAATTGGCAACGAAGATGTGTGTAGGCGATATGAGAGCACATACTGCTGTGGTACCGCTCTTATCTTCCCCACTGGCAACCTATGTAAACAATATAACAATTAGTAACCAATTGTCAATAATGCACAATGCAAACAGTTAACATATTGCATAACAATTACAGTACCATCATCTATAAGGTTACAATTCTCTTAATATATACAACTTAAGATTGCTTTACACACTTAAATAAAAATCCTCCACAAAACTTGTTTCATAAAGAGAAATGATAGTGGCTACATTAGTATCAAAACCAATTTTCCACAGTATTGGTTATTAGTTATTATCCAGTTCATGTGTAATAACTTATCCAGTTCATGGGTAATACATTATCTAGTTTTTTGAATATATTCTCTGTTGTACAGAAGGAACAAAAATACAATGGTACTGTGAATTCCCATTCAATCAACACATTCATATGGAAAACAGGATGTACCAGGCAATTATATATATGTTGCAAAATATTAATTGATATCAGTGTAATCAGACATTTTCAGAAAATTTCTGGCCAAACTAGAGAAAGGAGGAGAGAGAGAGAGGAATGGAGAAAAGGGAGGGAAGGAGAGATTATAAAGCCTTTTATAAAGCTCACATTTTCTCCCTCTTGACTATACTGTACACCACTTTCCTGGATGGCATCCCCCCTCCCACCCCTCATCATCATCATTTATCCAAATTCTGGACAAGGTAAAGAACAGTAAAAGACTTATCCCTCATTCAAGTTCAAGTATGATTATTGAGATAAGAAAGAAATACATCTCAAAGGGATAGAGTAGCTTAGGCTATTTTTACCCCCCCTCATCTTGACCCATCCTGGATGGATTGGTCCCTGTAAGACCCTACTATCTCACTCTCATTGGTCTGATAAATCATCTCTGAAACATACTATATTTCCTGTCCATTAGATACTCCCTTACCCAGTTCAGTCTTTTCCTGGTATCCTTGTTTGCCTCCCCATCTTGTGCACTAACCATTTATGAGGAACAGTATCAAAACCTTTTTGTCTTTCCAGAAGAAAGTTTACCCAGCCTTCTTTCTCTTGCTATATTTTGGTAACGTGTCAAATTCAAAAACTATTTTTAGACGTTTTTTTTTCCACTGAATCCATGTCCTTCCGTGGGTAATGGGGGGTTCGCCAGATCCTATAATATTTAGTTATTAGCATGAAATTTTACTTGCAACAAAATACTCTATTTTGCACAATTGACCAGATTAATATAGGCTTGCATTGGATGAGAAATCTCCCTACAGTCTCATCCATGGCTTGACAATATTAATGGGGTTTCTGTCCAACAATAGTATACCAACCACAACTACAAACTGGAATTCAATATCCTAAAACGAAATGCTCAAGAAACGAATGTATTGTCATTGTATGTGAAGGAATATGTCCAATGGAACAAAGAATATACAGGATGCCAAAGTAAAGCCAAGATATGAGTGTGCTAAGGGTCACAGATTGCACTCTAACATACTGTATAGAAAACAATGGCTTAATTTGATAATAATGACGAACATTAAGCCGGCCATCAGAATTTATAACAGCAAGGTAACGCTGTATTACTGTAGTGACTTTAGGCATCGTGTATACCAGTTCTCTCTAGAAATCAAACACACTATTTGTAACTCATTTTTGTATGTATGTACGTTTACCCGAATTATTATTAATTTATAAAATTAAGACAATATAAACACCTTGGAAAAGTTAAGTTTAAGAAAATGCTGAAGAATATGCTTAAAATGCAGCACACGTACTAACCTCAGGCATTTGTCGCATGGACTCGTCTAACCTCAGGAACCCAGCATGGATCCCCTTCTTAATTTTGCTTATAGTTTTTTCTTCACTTTCTGTCTCAAACTCTGCTATAGATGATGGCTGTAAAATTAAAATGGTGAAATATATTTAAGAAATTTGAAAACCAGATTCTAATGGATGTAACATAAGTTCTTAAAGTTGATTACCTTGAACACCCAACATTTATCATCAAATTTTTTGTGATTAAGAACATTAATTTAAATCATTCCGATACCAAAATCAATGTTCTAACCCTTTAAATCGATTCACAAACAGAAAGGAAATATTCAATTTTGACTGTACTGTACATGAAAAATGTGTTCTTTACCTGGAATTCCTCTCCTGATGTGATTGAGTGCAAAAGGTGCTCAGAACAATGGGCGGATATTTTGGCACCAGCATGGCCATCAAACACTGCAAAGAATGCCCAATCCTGTAATAAAATTTAATATTATCTTATTTGATAAGTGTACAATATTATATTTTCGAGATTACAAATACTTTTGAATCTCACATTATGCCACATGGCTAACATTGAAAACCAACATGACAAGGAATGTTCAATAATGTACAGTTGGTATACTATTAATTTTATTACCCAAGCAAAATAACAGATGCTTAAAGTTTCACAACAAAATATTCTCCAAATGCCCCCCTCTGCATTACATATTAACATAAAACTAAGTGCCTTGCATTTCCAGATAATGTAAATCTTCACAACTTCCACAAAAAGCTTCCTTTAAGTACAACCTTCCATACATATTTTTATCCACTTTCAAAGCTTCGTAAGAAGCATTACACCATTTGCTATACTGTACACTATATTTATTGGTAAAATTTCATTCTCCCATTTCTCACTTTCATGGTATGAGGCACAAGCCTGGTGAATTAATTGTGAATAATGCAAAAAAAAGATGCACAATACATATTAATGAATAAAACACTCAAAATATCATCTACAATAAGCATCACGGAAAAACATGCACAACCACGCTCCAGCATCCATCCTAAAGCAGTAGGTGTACATGCGGTACTCTTCCTAACTTCTTGTATACAGTACAACAGATACATTCACTCCCTTCACACAAACTTTTTAAACCCAGCCTTACTTCTTTACTATAGCTTGTGTATTGTTAAAACTTTGTTTCAAAACACACACTACCAGTTTGGTTACTTCCTTCCCCTCCTCCCACAAACAAAATCATCAGGTCAAAATGTCATAATTGCAAGAGCTCTAAGAAGAAAAAAAAAAAAAGTTATCCAAGTACAGTATACTGTAATAATGAGGGTGATAATGAGTGGAATCCCAGATAAATAAACATACAAAAAATAAAAATAGGGGGTAGAGAGAAATAAATATTGGAAAAGAAAGATCAAATTTGAAAAAGGGGGGGGGTCAAAAAAACAACAAACATTTGGTTGAGGTGAAATTGCTAAAAAATCTACAAATTGTCAATTATCTGGATCAAGGGGGTAAAAAAGGAGCGTCAAACTATATGCAAATCAACAATAAATTAACAATTTTAAATATTGTGCTGAGGAAGAGTTCAACATGACCATTGTACAAATGAGCAGACGACATCCAATACAAAACGTAGCAACAGCAATTGCAGCTGATCAACAAAACACACTGATAATTTCTTGAGCATTCCATTACAAAACAGTACACAACTATATCCACACAGTTTTGGCATTGGGTTAACAAGACCAGTATATGCTGCAAAATTTGCAGGTAAAAATATTAGTTTGTGCATTTATTCACAAACTATTATTATTATTTATTATAAAATATTTACATCCCATCTATATCATTATTTATACTGTAGATTATTATTTCTATGTACTGTAAATACTGTATGCAGGAACAAGTACTGTACTGTAAAGATTGCAATTAGAAAAACACATTTTTATAGCCAAAAATAGACAATTACAGGTATTTAGAAATCCATTTTATTTGCTAATCTGGATCAATTTTGGAACAATATAACCAGGATTTTGGAGGTCCATGGTATACAGTAGTATTTTTATTCAACTTACAATTGTTTTTAACGAAAGTGGACAAAAACCTCGTTCTATTTGCACTATTGCGTAACTTTCACAGGGCATCATTTTCAACTGAATATCAATAACATCCTCTGACATCACAACATTCATGTAAAATTTTGGTGCAGTTACATTTATTAATTTGAGACATTTCTCTGCAACCCTCCCCCCCCCCCTCCCTCCACATCCTACACATATAATTTTTTCAGCATAGACTGGTCAAGAAAATGTATCTGACTGAATTTGATCCAGTAGGACGAGAGAAGGCAGAAGTAACGACGAGCACCTCCAGGTGTGCACGTGCCAAAACACTAAGCTTGTGAACAACTTGTGAGTGACAAACAGTACAAGCCTAAAAGAAAGTACAGTAGTTTCCTACAGATGGCCCTCAGTTTGTATGGGGGTTATGTCCCTGCAAAAACCATGCAAATTAAAAACCACATGTCAAACCTAAAAAGTACTGTATATGGAAAAAAATAGGATTAGGTTACACAGACCACCAGAAATCAATTCCCCACCCACCACCCCCACTCTTTACTTGGTAAAACACCCATTTTTTTCATTAATGCTCCCATCAGTTTCAAGCCATAAACTCAGCAAACAATTAAGTTCAGAATCTTAGAATTTGCAATGTGGCCTAAATGTAACAAAATGTTTAGGAAATACAAGAATGTAAGGTGTGTGGGAGCCCTACATGCTGCAAAGAGTAAATGGTAAACCTGAAGATTACTGCAACTTGTAACCTGAGTAACTGTGAAATTCACCCACATATTTCAATACTGTACTTGGTATAAAAGTTCTTACCCACTAACTTCAAACATGGGTAGTTCAATACTATACAAACCACAGGCTGCCTGCAAATAGAACACATTTTGACATTGCAATCATAATTTGAGTACTATACAGGATACAAATCTCACCTTAAGCACTCCAGGTAAATTTGCTACAGCAGCATGTGCATCTTCCATTTCAATACGCCATCCCTGCATACTGGCCAGTCCATACCGTAGGCCATTCCCGACGCCGTGCTCATTATGTTTGTCAGTTTTCGGCTTGTCTAGAAATGCTCCCATGGTAAGATCACTTCCTCATCTGAAAAAAATATATAAACAATTATTAACTTGATACCAAATTTATCACCTAGGCAAATTTCACCCAATTTTCATTTCAAAATAAAAAGCTTTCACCTGATAAAATAACTGATTTATGTTAAAGTCAGACAAAAGTAATATAAAACTTTTCAAAAGTAAAAATGGTACGAAAGGCTGCGAGAGCGCGCTCAAAACGGGCCTCAGGTACATAAGTCATACTACAGTACAACTTACAAAATCCAAAACACTTTATAATGAGCTCTTTCATATAGCCAACCAATTTTCGTATAGACTGTCACCCCCAATAATTCTGATTCCATCCTGATTCGTTGAAGTTTGTTTTGAAATCTAGAAAAACAAGCAGAGCAATGTTAAGCTCATTAAGAATTTATTTGTGCCAAAGTTTACTTACTAGTATCTTACTAGTGTTGTGATTTAGTTTACCATCAGTGTATTAAGTGTGAAGGCATTACATGTGCTAGAAGAAATTAACTTGCAGGTAAGTAGGAATTTAGGCACCAATGCCATTTATAGTTTAAAATTTCAGAGTGTTATCGTAACGTAACTCAAAATTTATGTTGGCCATGAGCAGATGTAACTATTGTTTTTTTCAGTAAATGTATGTTCACTTTATTACTGTGTTTGGTATTAAGTCCCCATCTTTAGTTTGTAAACTGATTACCTGGGCTTATGACTGAGTACGAGTACCACTATCTACACTCGAGTTGGGACGAAGTACAATACCACTACAGTACGCTGAAATTTACCTGGCAGCAGAAGTGTGAGCTGGTCAGGTTGGCGACCTTTGCGAGGTTATCTTGAGGTTATCTTGAGATGATTTCGGGGCTTTAGTGTCCCCGCGGCCCGGTCCTCGACCAGGCCTCCACCCCCAGGAAGCAGCCCGTGACAGCTGACTAACTCCCAGGTACTATTTACTGCTAGGTAACAGAGGCATTCAGGGTGAAAGAAACTTTGCCCATTTGTTTCTGCCTCGTGCGGGAATCGAACCCGCGCCACAGAATTACGAGTCCTGCGCGCTATCCACCAGGCTACGAGGCCCCGAGTTACTTTTGTGGAGGCTAGGTCAGAGGTACGGAGCCCTATGCATTAATGGTCAGGAGAAGACTGCGTCCCAAAGGACCATTAGCCTTATCTCACTCTCTCTCTTCACAGGGGCACATGGCCGGGGTGTGTGAACCCCACTGTGTGCAACTGAGATACCCCTCAGTGATAGTGGCACCACAGGAGGGGAGAATGCAGTGCCACATTACCCAGCTCTGTAGATAGTGGTTTGCAAACATGCACATACAAGAATTGCTACAAAACATCATTATACTGTACTTTGTGTGAATGTATATTCACATACAGTAGGTGCCACTGGGATTATACGTTCACCCCTAAGGTACGCTCCGTTTTACCATGAATATCCTCGATCACTCAGAGGTGCAAAATGTTTTGGGGCACTCCTAGCTCCCAAATTGTAACAATTTTGTATTTATAAAAATTATTTGTTATAACTATACTATAGAACTTTATTATTTTTTTTTAGTTGTCCAAGGATATCAAACTAATAACTTTGCAATAATATTTGTTTAAACTGCATAAAAAAATAAACCTAAATGATGTATCTGCAGCACCAGTTGAAAGTCTAGGGAAGGAGCAATGATAACTTTAAGTATGGCAGCTTTCTGCAGCTCTGTTGACAAGTTGGGTGATGCCTCTTACTAGTGGTGGAGGTGTAATGGTCAGGTAGGCAAACCTAGTTACTGTGGCTCTGATGTGATTTCTTGGAGAGAGAGTGGGTTTGAGTTTCATTGAATGAGCCTTCTGGAAGCCATTTCATGCTGGACAGGGTAATCTCCAGTGTCTCCCACTCCCCATCGTTACCTGGCAATGATGATTCTGAAGATCCCTACCACAATGGGAAGTAGATGATGACAGTGACTGACTGACTGATAATATCCATTGGAGGAGCAGGCTATGCCTGAGTAACTTATTGGTTTAGCTCAGAAACAGAACCATATCCTGTACAGTATATTGAACAAAAATAAGGGTCCCTTCAATGAAGACCACAGTACTAGGATTATCATCCCCAAGCATAAAAATATACGAGTGTAGAAATTTTAGTACAGTCAATCTATGCTTATTTTAAATATAACACTAAAGTCTCTCCTCCACCATACTTCTCCCATTATTTCTCAAAAGGTTCTAAAATCTGTTACCAGGGGGCTACATGGTTTAATGACAAATCTTCCTTGTACCACCATAGCCTATACAAGTCTTTCAAGTTTCAAACTGATTCACAAGAGCTTTCAAAACATTATACAGACCCACAAATTTTGAAAAAAACAAGCACAATTTAATTTTGTGAAACTATAAGGCTTTCCTTTGGGATATATCTAACACTAATAAAAACAAGCAATACATCACATCACAGTACATTAATGTTACAAAACAAAATTCTAAGTTGTTTAAATACCAAACTAGGGCAGATTTAAGATGCTTAAAACAAAAAAAAATAGCCACAAAAGAGCTACAATCATGAATATATACATTATATACCTAAGACACACACACCCACTTGGAAGCTATACCCTTAAATCATTCAAAAATTATAATACTCTGTACAAAAATTTATCATACAACACTTTCCTCGGACTATCCAGAACTATGGCATCCTGTGTGGCATGTAGATATTGTGTAATATCTTACTAAATGAAAGTTCAAACTGGTTCTAAAAATGGCAAACAGGCAGCTACACTGTCAAGTTTCAATAAGAATCATCTTTTTCAAATTAAAGGAAAGACCCAATATATATTTAAATGTATTAAAGACCTAATTTTCAATTGTAACCTTCATCCTTTCTCAAGGTACAGTATACAATGTTCAAAAAAGCACATAGTATATTACTGTGTGCAATGTTAGCAGAACATTGTATACGGTACCTGGAGAAAGGATGTAGGTTACGTCCGAAAATCTGTTTTTAATACACTTACACATACTGTATTGGCTTTTTCCTTCACCTTCATTCAAGCACTACGGCATTGTAGTAAGTTTTTTCGATCGTCTTTTTATCATCACACCTATTTTAAATTTCAAATATGCGTATTAACCTATAGATGACTGTCAAATGGTGTTCCTTGGTTCATCAGTGGTAAACATAATACTTAAATCATGATATTTTTGCCAAAGATATGTAGGAATTCTGGAGCATATAGCACTTTCGTGCCTAAATACAGTGCAGTATTTAGTTTGCGACCATTTTTAATATTTTTCTACATTCACTTTTTTTCCATAACTCTTGCAAGAAAGTCATTAAGGTTTAATACTTCAGCCAATTTCAGAAACTGATAAATTTAATTAAAATTTTAAATTCTGGATTTTTTTTATATTATTTGTTTAGTACAGTATTGACTGCTGCTGCAAAGAAATATCCAATTTTGTTTTTTCAAACACAGTATTTTAAGAATAGTGCATAACAGTGACTCAGGGCTGAGAGAATTGTGCACTCCAAGGTTTAGATGTTTTCAAGAAATCTTTCAGGAAAGAACGCTCCACTAAAAATATACAAATTTGATAAAAATCATATGAAATACCTACTGGGAATACAGTACAGTACAGTACTTAATTCAGTAACACCAACAAACAAAATTAATGTCACCGAGTGATACAGTTAATTGAGACATAAGTGTGACGTTCAACAGGGTTCATTTACACAATCATTAAATCAAACATGGGTACAGAGGAGAATAAAAAATCTGAATGTTAGAAAATGAACACCTTTCAATGTCTTGGGATATTTCAAAATATTGTGACCCAGAAATTTTCCAAAATAGAAACCATGACACTAAATGAATATAAATGACATTAGATCATGCTGAGCTTATACTAACTCAATATAAATAATAGTGATAAAATGTCTATAATGTTGGCCAGCAATGATTGCTCTAAAATATTAAAATTTACAAATTCAGAATTCATTTGGCTCCAACCATTCTGGGTTTTCAGTGCTCCCCTGCATTGAGTTTCATTTGTATACAACTGCCATTACTATACAGTATATACCAAATATTCAAGTTCACTAATATTTTAAGATATGTAGGCCTATACTGAATTTGTTATACTGTAATGTATGAGTTTGAATTCAGATTACTGTATACAGTATTAAAATATTGTGTAAATTTTAAATTCAAATCAAAATGCTTAACTACAGAAACTCATTAGTAGAGTATTTACTTGTAGGGCAATTCAAATTACATTAAATAGCTACTGCATAACATCTGTTCGTGAAATACACAAAGACTTCATACACATACATTCCAACTTGTACAATACTGCAAGCACCACAGGCGACTACCCCACATGTACAAACTTGTCAAACCATCACAATCTGAAATTCAAAAAGTGTTTAGTTAGTAAAACTGGCAAGCTATCAAAATCATTAGCCCCAAGTATATCTACAATTAATTTAACCATTAAATTGCTGCACCTAATTATGTTCATGTTCATTATCAACTATAAAATTCACCAAAATAATGAGTGTCACATGAGAAATGGTTGAAGGACAGATGGGTAGACACGACAATAACTACAAGACCAATTGTGAGGCCCTCAAAATTTAACATGGAAATTATTAACACCAGGGATAGTTACAGAAAATAAATTATAAAATCTGATTGACATAATACTCATTTAGTAAAGCCTTTTTTTTTGGACACTAGAAAAACCACAATGTGGTCTTTGCAAAGGTGTGCCCACACTACCGATCAAGGTGTAAGGGAGGAACGTTTCATATACGATAAGTATCGGTAAAGTGGTGGTGGAGGGTTGAGTGGGTGGGAGATGGGCCTAGTTTGCCCAGTCACCATACTGGGTGCTTCCTATCCATGTGACAAGCCAATGGCCCAGTGTTCGATTTGTTGCGAGGCCATTGGAATATTCATTCCCATTCATTTATTGTATATACAATATCTGCAAAATTTTGAAGTATCCATGCTCCATGTCTGCTTCAAATGCAGAGATTTTGTCAATGAAAGTTTCGACAAGTGGGAAAACTAAGGGAGAGAGATTACTACCGAGATTTAAGAAAGTTGAAAGAATTAAGAAAATGGAGTGGCGATTTCAAGAATTGTTGTGTGTGCTGAAAATAAAGTAAGCAGGACATCTGAGGATACCTCATCACCACCAATCTCTACTTCAGTCAACTCTACACAATTAGCATTCACTACCTATATCACCTAAATAACTACGCACCATCAAAAATAATCTTAAGCTTAAGCTGATCAAAACAAAATACAGTAAAATGTTTTCCCCTACTTTTTTAGGATGATGGTCAGGTAAAGCAAACGTACCCAACCATTTTTGTCTTGCCCAGGGATTGAAACAAAGTCCCTTGATTGTCAACTGAGGATGTAGACCACTGTGCTACAGGGCTAATAAACTTTGTTTCACTTTAAACAGTTATTCTACAGTGTGTTGGGTATTTACACATGTAAAAAGCAAAATACAGTGATTGAGTACTGTATGTTATACAATACTTCACTGTAAAATGTACACCCATATTTCATGTAAATCTGTTCCCGACTCATCTCACAGGAAGAGTTTTACAACCCACCCCTTTGCTGCTATTTTGCCTGGCAATGTCATTCAGACATAAATACAAACATTGGTGCTCAACATGTGATTTGACAATAGTCACATTGCTTTTGGTACACAATGTGAAGAAAAAGACAGTCAAAATCAACCACTCAATGAAAGTTGCACAGCAGGCAGGAACAGCAGTCAAAAAAGCTAACCAAACCCTGCGAATAATCAAGTGAACCTTTGACTTCAAGGAAAAGAAGGTAGTGATTCAATTGTATAAATCTCTGATGGTCCCCCATTTGGATTACTGTATCCAAGCATGGAGACCTCAGGATGTAACTGCTCTGGAGAAAGTGCAACACCGGGCAACAAAAATCATTCCAGAGCCGAGTCAACTCGCGTATCAGGAACGGCCGAGGGCCATGGAGCTAACATTACAAACCAGGCATGACAGGGTATATCTTATTGAAACTTAAAATACTGAACAAGTTGGAGGATGTTGATCCAAAAAATTTCTTCAAAAGGTCAGATATAACACAAACAAGGAGTACCAGTTTCAAGCTCAACAAGCCACAATGTAGGAGCGAGTACAGATGCTTTTTCACCCACAGGGTTATTAACCCATGGAACTGCCTACCTGCCAAAGCCATAAATGCCAAAACTTTGTTAACCTTTAAAGTACAGCTGGAAAAGATCAAGGCAAATTGGGGGGGGGGACCTTCGACAAGCCACTGGCTTTCTGTCCTCATTGAAACCACTAGTGTTAGTGGCTCTCAAGTAAACTTGGGTAAACAATGACCATATAGTAATCAAGTAAAGACTACAGCAGAATTTTCATTACATCCATACTTAAAGCATTTGAAGAAAAGAAACAGGCGATAACTAAATTCAACACAATAATCTCATTACCCAGGGGATCAACATGTGACAATAACTGCACTTTAAGTTAAAAATATAATGTTTCAAATAACTTAGTATCAGGCAATACAAGGTCTCAATACATAGACTATATAAAAACTAACACATAAGCATACAGTACGTACTTACCAAGGCATTGGTAAATACATCACACACACAAAAAAAATACAGGCTGCACAAAAATAATAATTGCATCCAGTACAACTTAGTTTATATTTAATCAAAACATTAATAGAAAACCCTAATGTAGATCTTCACCCAGATGCTCCAGACACTTAAAAAGTTAGTGACATTATGGTATACTAAATAATAATAATATATTAGATTTACTGAAAAACTTAGCTTATTAATAGCTCAATACACAAAGCTCATCACTAACTTCTGTCATCAAAATAAACTATCTCTGCAGAAGTATGTCCTAATACAAGCTGCTCTAACTTTACTCAACCAAACTTTGCCTAAACTATATTATATACAGTCTTTACAAATTAGAAAATAAGCTGTCAAAATGCTTGTTTATTATTTGACTGAACCCAGTGTTCCTGCAGCAACATGGGTACATGATTATTTTTTCACTTTAAAATACTGGATAATTATTTTGTAAGGAATATGGAAGTCGGTGCATATACTGTACAATATATATATATGCTCATATCGAGGCCCCCCCCCCAAAGATCGAATTACTAACTTTCCCCAGGATGCAATTCCCTCATAACAGTTGCCTAACTTCTGAGTACCTATTTACTGGTAAGTGAACAGATCATCAGATGAAAGAAAATGTGCCCAATCATTTCTGTCTCACCTGGGGTTCAAACCTGGGATCCTCAATTGTGATTCTGGAATGTAGTCACTGTGCACCAAAACCAACGATGTGAGATATAGGATTATAAAAGAAAAAAATCTGAATGTTTTACCTTTTAACCTCAATCTTGAAATATCAAGTACTGTACCTTATATTCCTTATATTTTATGTAATTTCAACTTTATTACACACAGAGATCACACTAACGTGATGCATCAAATGAACAAATCCACAACTGTGGATTTGTTCATTTGATGCATCACGTTAGTGTGATCTCTGTGTGTAATGATGAAAGGGTGAAGAGGGAGAACGGCCTATTGACATAGCTCAGGTGCAAGGGGGGGGGATTGTGTAAAATCCTGGTTTGTGCCTCGGAGAGGCTACAGGATCCAGTAAGTTCAGTAGAACTTCGGTTTCAACCCTTTTACCCTGTCGTATCTCAGTCGATTAAGGCAGTGTCTGGGATGCTCCCGGACGCAGGTTCGAATCCTCGACACGGCCCTTGTGGATTTTTTCAACTTTATTGACTATAAAAAATTAAATATTTTGTATTGCTACAGTAACCTCTAAGATGCTCAAATTTAAATTGCTTGACCATTAGTGTACTGTTATCCATTAGTAAACATGTCAACTCAGTCTATACTCAGACTTATAGCAAGAGTGCACGTTACTCTCATATTTCTCAGCATACAGAGTGAATATGATGCTCAACAGAACTGTGAGAAGAGTGTAAAGCTGCTCCTCAAGAGGACCTAAAGGCACCTGATAATACTGGCGCTTAAGGTCAAGATTGGATCTTATCAATGGTCACACCACCACCACAGGCAGGATGGCAGCGTTGACAACTGCTTGTCAGTCTGCCACACCACCACCAAATCCATTTAATCTCCTTCACCCAACACTCGGAGCCTGGGCTAACGAGCAGTAATTACCAAGTGCAGACCAGCAAGGTGGTGGTGGTAGGAGAGGGGGGCCACGCAGTCTAGAGCAGTTGTGAAGGTACCAACGCTGCACCTCATCTCCCCCTCACCCCCTCTCTCTCCCCCACCACCAACACTCACCCTTCTCCCCCTTCACCCGCCTCCTGTTCACCCCACTCCTCCCTAACACACCAACAATCACTCAACTACATGACGTCATACACAATATCCCGCCTGTCCAACTCAATCGCCAATTCTCCCCCACTTACATTACACCAACACAAATAGTACTGCCATCGATGAACACTCTCAATATAGACTCTATAAAATGATCTCCGTCGTTCAAAACCTTATCACGTTAAAAGGGATCGAGAAACATTTGTGAATCGCTAAAGAGTGTTTGAGCTGACTCTGTCCGCTATGACGTCATAGAGCCGGGAAATAATTTTGATCGAAACCTCAGTCAACACTTGTATTCACTAAAAAGATCTTTAGTTATCGTATCGATTCTGAGGATATGCACTGTAGGTTATATACGACTGTGATCTTAAATGTCTCGTACTTGACAAATTAGCCCAAATAGACGCTTTCAAATGACATATTTGGCCAAGATAATCATTTGTGAAGCGAGTGCGAGAGGAATCATAGAGTGTAGAGGATCAGCAGCGAGGGAAGAATATAGGCCGGAGGGGGCGCTGCACCCGACGGGTTGCCCAAGGTTGGATGACTCATCGCCAGCAACGAATGGACCCCGCTACTCTCATCTTACGTCACCTGCACAATTATACGCAAACATTCGCAGTTTAACAGTCCCTGCTGGTGGAAAAGAGATTCAACTTTCATCTTAGTGTTATTGCAATGGTGTATAAAATATTAGTATGCTCAGGCAAATGTGTTATTGCGAGATTTAAGCAAGCATGGATTTTACCAGAAAGACATACCAGTCTTTGGCGCTAGTAAAACCGAAAAATAAATAATTAAACATATCACAGTCAAATTGACACATGTATATGTGATTATTACTTTTTCACCGCCAACTATTAAATAAGTATGGAGTACATATTAAATTAAAATTTGACGTAACTAGGGTATACAAATGTAGGGTATACATATATATTTTAGCAAACCTCACATATTCTTACCCAACTCACCACAAATGTAAACTGCTAAAAGTATTAAGCTTAAACATCATAATGTTGTCCAATACTTGCATCCATTATGTGACACTGAAACTAATTAAAACTAAAGCTCGCACTCGTGTTATTATGGCCTCCTAAGTTAACATTAGAATAAGAATGTTTATTATTATTCTAATGTTAAGAAGCATTATAATAATTGTGACTTCAGAAGGCCTATTGGCCCATACAAGGCAGCGCCTGTTTATATCCACCCAAACTCATTTATATATATGTATCACTTGAAATAATCCAGCGATCTCATTTCTATTATTAATTATTATTAATGTTACCCGGTATTTGTCCCATAAATCACAACCTATTTCCAGGCCAGTTATATATTTGGCCTTTCCTAACTGTAAACTTATATATATGCAATTTATAGTTACTGTACCTGAATTTACCTGAAGGGCTACTATCTCTCCAGTAGCCTCGACAAGTACATGAACCCGGCAACTTTTCAAAGGTTTTTCTATTTGTCCTGATGACTTTATCCAGCTGTATTTTTATAATTCAGCCGTGTTCTGGCTTTTAAAGCTTCGGATGGGTAGGCGGTTCCATGGCTTTACAACCATGTTGGTGAAAAAACATCTGTTTTCTGTTCTACATTGTGGCTTCTTTAACTTGAAAAAGTTGCTCCTTGTTCCTGTTACAAATGACCTTTTGGAGAATTGGTTTGGATCAATATCCTCAAAATTGAAACTTCCAGCAATTGGTGGCAACCCGTCCTCGACTAAAGTTCATTCCATCCAGCAGTCGACCCCACAGACGCAGTCATAAATTTTTACATGCATGTTCATTCAAAACAGGAATTTTCTTAAATATAAATTAATATTATAATATATTAACATATTGTGCATATATAGGTAAGGTTAGGTTCTGTTGGTGATTATTTGTAGTACGTGGGTGAAGCATTTACAGCGTTGTGGTTCGAAAAGAAATGAATTGTCAGCGAAGCACTTGTTCCGGAAGTGTTCGAACGTCAACAGTTGTGAGTCGTGTGTAAACCGTTTTTCATTCATAAACAGGGGGGTTGGCGGGTGCATGGAATCACTTTTGGGTCTGTTTGGAGGACGGGTTGGGTTTCTGATGTTATTGTTTTAGGTTCAATTACTCGGAACCAAAGTTCCAAGTAGCACGGGCTATGGTGAGCCCGTTGTGTGCTTAGTGGTTTCTGACATTGATCCTTTTCTTCATCAATCTACTGCGAGGTAATGCTGTTGACTTGGTCGTTATTATGTCCACTGTTGTGCCCCAATTGGAAGGTTTTTGCATTTTTCTATGTTAAAAAACATATGCCATATATTCCGACCATTTGTAGGGTTCATGTACATTTCTTTGTAAGCATCATTTTCACTTCCTACTTTACCATTAATCTTAGTGCCCTCTGCAAATTTGATGTGGCTTGTAATATTTTCATTTATATCATTGATGCATATGACAAAAATGCGTTGGCCCCAAAATTCAACCTTGCGGCATCCTTCCACCCCCCCCCCCCCCACCTCTTACTTTTCTCTTTCCCTCTACCCCCCTTCTCCCCCACTCTCTCCCCGTTTCAGATAATGTAATTGTTACGGTCACTTTGGGCCAGTAACCGGGTTCTTGCTGTTATAACTTCTTCTATATCCAACCCCCAAGTCGGTGGTAAGCAGACGAGGAGTCACAATAATGTGGCTGAAATTTGTTGACCAAACCACACACTAGAAAGTGAAGGGACGACGACGTTTCGGTCCGTCCTGGACCATTCTCACGTCGATTGTCGTCGTCGTCCCTTCACTTTCGGTGGTAAGTTTAAAAGAACTTGCTGTCAGGTATTAGTGCAAAGAATAGTAGGGAGATAAACAATACACAATCACACCTTCACCACTATATATATATATATATATATATATATATATATATATATATATATATATATATATATATATATATATATATATATATATATATATATATATATATATATATATTATTTTCTTTAAATGATCCAACATAGTGCACAAGGGGTAACAGCTTCAAACCCCACTGAATCGCTTATCTGACGATGCCATAAATGCAAATATACTTCAGTTTAAAATTCAGCTGGAAAAATCAAATCAAAACAAAAGATATATTTCTCTGTTCTCAAAACAGAGAACGGGATCACCTCTACAATTTTGTCACCATTGCTTCTGAAACACTCGAAGGAGGCATAGTTGAAGGAGTCAGTTGAGCAAAATCGGTGTTAAGTTTCACTTACGAGATCGAGAGTGATGGGAAGCTGCCCTTTCTAGATGTAACAGTCGCGGAAAGGAATGGTGACTTCCACACTGCAGTCTACACTAAGGAAACGAACATAGGAATAGGAATGTGCCTTAATGACAATAGTGACTCTCCGAACAGGTACAAGCATAGTGTTGTCAATGCTTACGTCGACTGAGCTCTCACTCACAGCTCTGGTTGGAAGCAGGTCGACGAGGAACTCTGTAGAGTAAGGCAGGTCTTAGTCAATAATGGCTTCTCTAACGGTTATGTTGAAAACGACATTAAAAGAAAGGTGACACGCCATGAAACCTCTGAAGAATCAACTGACACAACACCTGTAACTCCTATTAGACTGTTTTACAGAACTTCTTTTCGACGGCTCATTGAATGGAGGACAGTGTCCTGAAAAAATATTATTGATAGGAACGTTATCCCCACACACACAAATCAGAAGATACAATTAACAATTTACTACAAAAACAAGAAGACGGCAAACCTCCTTATGAAGAACTCTCCAGACACCAAACAGAATGCCTTATAAGAGACCAACATCGTCTATGCCTTCACATGCCCACTTGGGGACTGTCAGCCCCAAAGATCTCAGTATATAGGCAAGACAACAACGTCTCTAGGCGATTAACAATGTACAAGCAACAGGGCTCCATCAAGGGCATATAATCTCCTCACACAACCAGACCATCACCAGAGAAATCTTAACAAGCAACATAGAAATTATAGTCAGGTACAACGACAACAGGAGACTCGACATCAGCGAGGCCCTACACATCAAAAAGTCAAAACCAGTAATAAACAGCCAATTAACAAAATTACATTCTACCCACTTCAAGACCCCGAACCAACACAGAAAGCGTAGAAGCAAGAACATAGAACACGCAATGGCCTATTAATACCCATTATGTCAATGATCCACTTGTTCATCTCAATCATGTCCTGTATCACCTCATCCCATACGAATATAAGCCTTGGTAGAGTAATGGAAAATTTGTCTTTGAAAATGCAAGGAGTGCCTTGCAAAACGCTTCCCTAGATGTCAGACCATAAATATAGTGTGAAAATGAACTTCGCAGTTATTTTTTTCAACTTCCCTCGACATTGAAGTAAAACATTAAACCACAAACTTGCATAAACCACAAGCCGAGTGTATCAGAAAGACACCTCACCATGAAAGATTCGAACCTTAGACTGCCAGGAGCAATGAGACCACTGACAAGTCCAATACCCTGGACATCCAGGGTAAAGTCCTTGACTTTAGCAAAGGTTTTGACTCAGTGCCACACGAAAGACTGATTTGAAAGCTGGAGTGACGGTATTGGGGGGTGTTATCTTAAGTTCGATTAGGACATGGTTATATCAAAGGAAACAAAGAATTAGTATAAATGGAGATAAGTCAGAGTGGGAAAATGTTGTAAGTGGAGTGCTTCATGGCTCTGTCCTGAGACCTTTGTTGTTTACCCTGTATATAAACGATTTACATTCAGGATTGAGCAGCATTATTTGCAAAATTGTAGAAAATACGAACAATCAAAATCACTTCAAGGCGATCTAGATAAGTTTTTGAAATGATTAAAAGATTGGCAGATGCAGTTAATTGCTGAGAATTGTAATGTTCTGAGGCTAGGTAATGATAGAGTTAAAAGGTATCAGCTGGATGGTATTGAAATTGCCAAGTCTGGTTGCGATTAAGATCTGGGGGTTACAATTAATAGGAATTAAACCCCCAAAAATTAATGCACAAATGTTCGAAATAAGGGAAATAGGACACTGGAATTTATTTATAGAAGCGTTATCAATAAAACACCCAATGTTATTCTTCAGCTATATCCTGCTCTTGTTAGACCCTCATTTAGCTTATACAGTTCAGTCTTGGTCGCCACAACAAAGAATGGACATAAATTCACTAGAAAGCGTTCAGTGAATGATGGCAAAGTTAATCCTACAAATTATAAAGTTTCCATATGAAGAGAGATGGAAAAAGTTTAATTTATATTCTTTAAAAAGGCGAAGAGTTATAATTGAAGTGTACAAGTGGCTGAATCGGCATAATAAGGGGACATGAAAGAGGTATTTAATTTATAATATATATATATATATATATATATATATATATATATATATATATATATATATATATATGTATATATATGTATATATATATGTATATATATATGTATATATATATGTATATATATATGTATATATATATATGTATATATATATGTATATATATATATATATATATATATATATATATATATATATATATATATATATATATATATATATATATATATAGTAAGATTATATATATATATATATATATATATATATATATATATATACAAATACACAACTGATTATATATATATATATATACATATATATATATATATACATATATATAAAACTCACTCTGGGGTGTGAGTTTTCAGTTGTATATATATATATATATATATATATATATATATATATATATATATATATATATATACATATATATATATATATATATATATATATATATATATATATATATATATATATATATATATATATATATAACACGAAACAAAGGATATACATTGGATAAGTTTATATATAGTACAGACACGGTCCTTTTCCGCTTCATGATCGGGCATTCCTGCCTTGCAGCTAATTTACATGGAATTCAGCTGACTGATTCGTCCTATTCAGTGGTGTTCAACCCAGGAGAAGACCTTGGAACATCTCCCTCTATGCTGTCCAAAGGTTTTACGCGACCCGTACGAGGCGGCTACAGTGCGCACAGTTCGACGACGGTTGTAAATCTCCCGCCCGACGGTTCCCGTTTTCCCCGACGGCGCTTGTACGAGGAGCGACGATACTATATGGGATGCCTCGCCACACCTTCCGTTTCGTCACTTGATTCCTTAAACTGTCGAAATCCAATCTTCCTGTCCATAGTTGAGGATTGTAAGAAAAGGATAAATGAGATACAGCTGAGAGGTTACAAAGTGAAATTCGTGTGGCTTCCATCTCATGTTGGAGTAGTGCTCAACGTGGTGGCGGATGTGCTGGCCAAACGTGCCGCATCAAGACCACAAGTTGACAGCACCGTTAGCAGCACAGCAGCAGTAACAACACCATTAGCAGCACAGCAGAAGTAGCAGCACAGCAGCAGTAGCAACACCATTAGCAGCACAGCAGCAGTAGCAACACCATTAGCAGCACAACAGCAGTAACAACACCATTAGCAGCACAGCACCAGTAGCAACACCATTAGCAGCACAGCAGCAGTAAGAGGGGGAACAACAATAGCAGTACCAGCAGAAGCAACAGCACCAACCGCAACAGCACAGCAGCAGCTGCAGTTGCTGCTGCTGCTGTCGGTCAGATAATAAGCGGCTTATTTACATATATTTAGTGTAATTAGTCATCTACTATGAGAAATTAACCCAAATTCTCCTAGTTATTCGTTAACGTTAAACCAGTTTTATTAATCTGCCTATATTTAGAGACTAGAAAGGGTACCAAGCGATGTCTGTGTCTGTCACTCTGTCTCTCTCGGAAAATGTAATTATTATAAAAAGATGGCACTGCTCAAAACTCTACGGAAATCAAATCCATTTCTTAAAAGATTGCATGAGGCTGACCCTGACCAGCCTCTGACAGTCACATACCACCCATTTTTCATCTTGAAGACATTCTTCTTTTCGATATAGGTTTATTAATACAAAAACTTATGTAGAGTGATTAAACTCAGGAGTGTGTACATGTTAGTTTTCGAGCATTATAACCTTATCAAATACAAAATACCTATGGCAAATAACACTCTTTCTGAGGGTACCCCGAGGAGTAGGGAGGAACGACTGAGGCCATATGCACCCAGTAGTAATTGGGGACCTGGGGCCAGATTCACGAAAACACTTACGCAAACACTTACGAACCTGTACATCTTTTCACAATCTTTGGCGGCTTTGTTTCCAATTATTAAACAGTTAATGAGCTCGGAAGTACCAGGAGGCTGTTTATAACAATTGGATATCAAACGATTCGCGGTGACATCTGGAAAAAACTTGGCAATCAACAAACTAGCTGGTTCTAGAATGTAGCCCGAGGCCTGCATCCAAATATAATAATTTACCCGAGGGCCACCATTTCTCTAGTGTCTTCGCTAGGAACAGGAAACCGGCAGCTTATCTAAAGTCCCCTAATTTGTTCTGATTATTTTTTCCAGCTGGATTTTGAAGTGCAGAATTGCCTTGGCGTTTACGACTTCGGCGGGTAAGCTGTTCTATGGGTTTATAACAATGGGTGAAAAGGCGTCTCCTGTTTTCCGTCCAACTTTGTGGCTTGTTGAGCTTGAACATGTTGACCATTATCTGTCTTACAGTTTTTTTTGTATGTTTTAAACGAGTGGTCTGGATCAACATCCTCCAAATTGTTCAGAACTTTTAAAGTTTCGCTGAGATCAGACTTGTCATGTCTAGTTTGTGTTGTTAGCCGTGAGGTCAATTCCCTTCCCTCCCCTCAAACTTAAATTCTGTATATTCCCATTAATTTAGGTATCAAATATTGTACAGTTACTGTGTAATAATAATAAATGTATACCTTTTAACCTGGTGAAATTTGCGAAGCCTCGCTCAAAAATTGTCATCATCGATGGAAGGAAGGGTTGAGGTGTGTGTATTCTCATGGTGATGGATTTGCCCTAAGGTCGGGCTCACAGAGTAGAGCCAATGTACACTCCTCCGGGATTCGGGCTCTCAAACATGAACCTGACACACAATACACTAACCAAACCATAAACAAACCGCACCAACTTCCTAACTTGGTTAGACACTCAACATTAACCAACTAATAAAACCAAAGAAACACTACACTAGTCAATTAACCCAACAAAATTAAGCCATTATCAAAAAAAGGTGCCAAGCCGGGGATACTATGTTAAAAAATACACATTACATTAACCCATCGTCAAACAGCAACACGTACAAAACCACAGTGGATGACCTGTCCTGCCTCCTCTTACTAGAACTTATATATTCTGACTTGTCTGCCTCCTTCCCTTGTCCCTAATCCCCTCTCCCCCTCTTATCAAGACCTTTTGACAAAACTATATTCGATTGCATGCACAGGGGTTTCCATAATCGGTGCAGACGTTATACCAGACCAAGTTAATAAGGAATATATTACATATAATAATCAATAGTCTAAACCAACACAAAACAATGGCGTGGGAATCACCATGTTTCGAATTCCAGTCATATAAAAACAAAAACAAAACAAGATTGGTGTGCACACAATTGCTTACTTGGGAAAATATAAATGTCACGATCATCTTAAACTATTCTATAAGAGAATGTCTGTCTGTTCAAAGTTGAAGGTCAGACGCTCTGGCTTTCACACTCACTCAAACATATATAAATAAGCCGTATTAGTGGCTTTAGGTATTGTATGTACTAGCTCTACCTATAAATCCAACATTATGTTTGTAAATCATCTTTGCACTTGTCCAAGTGGAGACCTGACGGGATGGGGTTAGCCTTACCTAAATTTTTAAGGGAAAGAATTTCGAAAACGGATGGATATAAGCTGGTCGATGTAGGCCTAAGTTAAATGCTTCAATAAATATTACTAATTATAAACACCCGTAGGCCACTTTCAGTCTTTCACTAGGTGAGGTATAGAATATGGCGTGTAATTACCGTAGAGCTGTTACTGGGAAGAAAAATAAAGGGGATGTGGGGAAAGTGGAAGATAGGGAGGAGAAGGGAGAGGCAGAGCCAAGTAGTAAAGAGAAGGAGAAAGAAAGACACAGACCTTGGCACTGCCGGATAACCTCTCTAGTATAATTATATGTTAGATAAAGAATGCAATCACATAAAGTTGTACTAGATAAGAAAAAAGTTTGTCACCATATTTAATTACTTATTAGTAGCCAATTATTGTGCAAAATAAAACTTTCCAATGGAAAAATATTATGTTTATACGTCTCAGCTTTTTCCGGCTTCATTGTTAACTGATATGCAAGTCTGTAAGTTTCTGACGCAACAGATCATCTGATATCGTTGACTCAGAATACTGAAACAGCTTATAATTAATCTAGCTTTGTATTCAATTATGTATAATTGTATTGCCATCATCCACCGAGTTAGACCCCCCCTTCCCCCTCCAAAATGTTTAAAACTACATATAAGTAGATAATATCTGTCTGGTAATAGAGCATCTGTCATTACCTGTTTAATGCATACTATTCAAGTACAATACACAAAACATGAAAGTGCGTTCAATTAGCGGCTCTGATTGGTCGAGCGAAGGTGGGGCCCACCAGTTCACCAATGGCAGCGCTGGTTGTCAGGGGTGCGGCTACCGTTGCCACTCACTACTAAGTGCTTGATCTATTAAGCGTTCGCATATCATATGTTCTTCAATTATATGATCCCAATTTGTTTATTACATTTGTTACAAAAATATTAATGACAATCAATGCGGGATAGAGGTGTATTATTCAGGTGTAAAATGTTCTACTTAGCGACTGTTTGCCATGCTGGCAGTAACGGGCTGCTTCCCTTTCTATGCTGGCGGAGGCGAGACAGTCACACTTGCACTCCCAAGGGGAAGACCTGTGCTTCATTTCTCTCCGTCTGTACTCTCCCTCAACAATGGTGAACGCAGATCTCATTTTCGGCGGAGTGGAAGGGTGAGTGTAAACCTTTTATTAAGTTGTATAAAGTAAGCACATCAGAATTTGCAGCCGCCGCTGTATTGATTATTTTCATTGATTACTCTTATTATGTGAGTTTGCTTGGCTTTCCTAGCAATTTCTGAATTTTCCGAAATTTTTTCTTTAGTTTAAAGTGATGCTTGGAAGCAATCTGGGGTAATTAAACTATTGTGTAACATAGCATGATCACTAAACTATATATTATGTACACATTAGGATTCTGATCTTGGTGGCAGGACGCGGCCTAACAAATCATTATTTAGGCTTCAAATAACTTTTATTAATGATGTATAAGCTTGAGTTGTCAATGTTGTTCGGGTGACGGAAGCAACATCTACACTACACACGATCTTCGTGACTGGAACCATCTACACCACGCACGATCTTCGTGACTGGAACCATCTACACCACGCACGATCTTCGTGACTGGAACCATCTACACCACACACGATCTTCGTGACTGGAACCATCTACACCACACACGATCTTCGTGACTGGAACCATCTACACCACACACGATCTTCGTGACTGGAACCATCTACACCACACACGATCTTCGTGACTGGAACCATCTACACCACACACGATCTTCGTGACTGGAAGCATCTACACCACACACGATCTTCGTGACTGGAAGCATCTACACCACACACGATCTTCGTGACTGGAACCATCTACACCACACACGATCTTCGTGACTGGAACCATCTACACCACACACGATCTTCGTGACTGGAACCATCTACACCACACACGATCTTCGTGACTGGAAGCATCTACACCACACACGATCTTCGTGACTGGAAGCATCTACACCACACACGATCTTCGTGACTGGAAGCATCTACACCACACACGATCTTCGTGACTGGAAGCATCTATACCACACACGATCTTCGTGACTGGAAGCATCTACACCACACACGATCTTCGTGACTGGAAGCATCTACACCACACACGATCTTCGTGACTGGAAGCATCTACACCACACACGATCTTCGTGACTGGAAGCATCTACACCACACACGATCTTCGTGACTGGGAGCATCTACACCACACACGATCTTCGTGACTGGGAGCATCTACACCACACACGATCTTCGTGACTGGAAGCATCTACACCACACACGATCTTCGTGACTGGAAGCATCTACACCACACACGATCTTCGTGACTGGAAGCATCTACACCACACACGATCTTCGTGACTGGAAGCATCTACACCACACACGATCTTCGTGACTGGAAGCATCTACACCACACACGATCTTCGTGACTGGAAGCATCTACACCACACACGATCTTCGTGACTGGAAGCATCTACACCACACACGATCATCGTGACTGGAAGCATCTACACCACACACGATCTTCGTGACTGGAAGCATCTACACCACACACGATCTTCGTGACTGGAAGCATCTACACCACACACGATCTTCGTGACTGGAAGCATCTACACCACACACGATCTTCGTGACTGGAAGCATCTACACCACACACGATCTTCGTGACTGGAAGCATCTACACCACACACGATCTTCGTGACTGGAAGCATCTACACCACACACGATCTTCGTGACTAGAAGCATCTACACCACACACGATCTTCGTGACTGGAACCATCTAGACTATACCAGTATAGCCGTTGACTAGGGGGACCTGGAAAACCTGGTGCTGGTGCACTTGGCCGCGGGTGTGCTGGTGCACTTGGCCGCGGGTGTGGACTTTGAGTTATACGGATTAATGCAAGTAGTAGGTCAGTAGTGCAGTCTTGGACAGTTTTTATAGTGCTGTCATAAGAGACTTGTGACCTTTGACTTGCCCTCGTGCACAGTACTACTACCACTTGCCTTTGTGCACACTACTGCCACCACTTGCCCTCCTCGTGCACGGTACACTTTTGTATCCATTTGCCTTCGTGCACACTTATCACACAGTCAGGCAGTGTCTGGTTATCACCCTGACCTGTTATTGACATATAATGTCAATAAGAAATCTGACTCGATTAGGATTCGAACCTGCGTTACCAGGGCTCACCCCAATGGCGTACATAATGATACAATTACACAAGCAGGCAGGCGATTGTCTAGGTAATGCAATCGCTGGTGTAGTGGTATCAGGATAGCCGACTTTTGGCATTGGCTCATTGCACTGGAGATGCTACATTTGTCCTATCTCATCACCTACTGGACACTCGACGGCATCGTAATGATCTTAGCAATATGGGCTCTCAAACAAAGTAGGTTTTAGTTCAGTGCTGAATAGACAGAGCTCAGCCCCGGCGTACACAGTACTTGAAACATTTCATGTAATGTAAGGTGTATGTAAATTTCGACACATTATTACATGCAATAAAATAAACTAACGATAAATTAAGATAATGGATAAGGCAGTTAAATGTATGATAAGTTATAGTAAAGAATTATATACACAAGATATAAATATTCAGCAATATAGGTGATTCTTTCAGCGAAAAGATTGTCAGCACTTACTAGATAATAAAGTATTGCCTCGCTGCCTAACAACTCTCAATTTATATATGGATGTATTAATATTATAAAGCATGCTAATTGGCCAGTCTACCCTCTAAAACAATTAATAACTTATCCTGAATTGAGAACCGGAGCCTATCTGACAGTAGCCAGATGATGTTGCTCTTGCTGAGACCAGATTTTATATTAATGATGAAATGGCAGCTTTCGAAAATACATCACTGGAAGCTATAATTTTGGTTCCAGCAATATTTTTGATTACCTGGAAGCTTCTAACTTCTGGTGATCTATATTATTATATAGGCATTAAGCCCAATGGTGCACTTTACTAATGGTCATGAAGGATGCTGATGTAGATACAGTAGATATGATCAATAGATAATGAATCTGATGATTCTGGTATATAGATATGATGGGGAATAATAAATTCCTTAGATAATAATATTAACATGAGTGGAATTTTCCACATGGATAGTAGTCTAGATATTTGTTCGTCTGAAAGCATATTGCAGTTCCAGTAACAGCCTTGTAAACTGGGAAGTGAACCTTTGTTCTAAAGGTAATGTGCTTGTTATAACCTTATTGTATTAAAAATCGATGATTTAAAATAAGTATTGTAAACTCGCCTTCAAACAAGGCACAGTCCGTTCTACCATAAAATGTTCAACTATTACTAGACAATTACTGCTTGGCTGATAATCGTTACTTCCGACAAATCTTGATCCCATTTTCTGAAAGAAAGTGTTCAAGACAGTTGTAGTTACCGACGATTCTTCTTGGTGTTTGACTGGTGACAAAGGATAATTTGTGTAAGCTGCTCCTGTTTGTAACCAGACGTTCAGACCAACAGTGTCATTTCTCAACTCTTCTGACTTCTGTCTTGACAGTCGGACTTCAGCTCCACTTGTCATACTACCAACGACAAAAACTTTAATAATGATATGGAATGAATAATGTTGGGCCCCTTAAACCGGCCCAACCACTGACAGAGCTGCCAAATTCTTGGTGTGTTCTCGCCCTCGCGAATGACGTCAGCGTAGTGACGGGGCATGCACCCCCTCCACCATGGAAAACACTTGTGAACCAAACACGTGAATTCGAACCACATGACACTTGATTCTTTGACTGAACTCTTGATATAGCTTTAGAGTATAATGTTTATCTTGGCGGGTATAGGATGCCCGTGCATGTTGAAATCTGCCAACCCAACCACCTGAAATGATAATACTTGGTAACTATTTGGTCGAAAGTACAAATAATGGTAGTAATGGGCCACCAGTAAACCACTTTTTGTACTATTAATTTTTTAGTCCGGACAAATAAAGCTAAAATCCCACTTAAATATTCCTAGGCCTAGTATAGCACATATTTGTACTATATTAGGCCAAAGATAGCGTGTATTAGGCCTAAGATTGCTAGGAGAGGTTAGATTAGGTCAGGTCATATGTTCGTGTTGGGGCTAAAGTTTCCGGTTTGTCCAAATTCACTAATATAAAAGTCAACTTTCTGGTGGTCCATCACTACATACTAGGACTTTCTACCAAATAGTCACTTTTTTATTATTATTATTTTCTACTACAGACGTGGCCACACATTTACAATGCTAAACAGCATTTATACATTTTCTTCTGTCCTCCATGGACATGGGTTAGAGATAAGTACTTTCATTTTAGGAGGATGGGCTGAACTCTGTATAACGAAGGACGAGGCTCTGTCCGTATAGTTACCTATCCTATTATTGGCAGACACAACGGTGCTTAATCTAATTCGCCGAATGACGCGTGTGCTACTGTGCCACGTCATAGAATACGGAAAAAAGGATGAAATGCGTTTTCGCTTTTAGTTTCAAGGTTACCTCTTGAGAATAATACTGCGCAGCCTAGAATGAAGTGCCTCTCCAAACCATTGTGCGGGCAGCTTGAAGGCGCTAACTGGCCTCTGGGAAGAATAACCATGTCGCCCTTGAGTAGACAACCTGTCCAATCACGATGTTATAGTGTAGAATAGCCACTCTACTATAGTGTAGAATGACAACATAATGAACAACCACCACGCCGCCACATTGTGAAAGAACAGCCTCGTTGCCAGAATGTAGAACTACATTACCATAATACATAATGGAAACTATTTAAACATGATAACAGTTAACATTAAAGTGGACCAGGGACGGTGGTGGTATCACGGTCATAGTTACGCCACCACACCAGCCTGTCAAGATGTGGTGCATTGTTAAAAATGGTCTGGTCACATTCAGCTCGCTTAGAGAGCTGGGCAAATTTGAGTTGCTTGGTAAAACAAATTTGACGCCTGGGCGGGCCATCCCATGGAGAGCGGCACATTATCTGGAGGGTACTCTACTCTGGAGTGGGTTATCGCAAGTGCATCACACTACTTGTGACGAAGATTGCACTCCCTTTCTAACTTCATACTCTCATTGATCACCAAATGTTCTATGCATTCATGCTTGTCCTAGGTGTTTAA